TTCCCCCTACTCTCATCTGAGCAGTATAACTCTTCGCAATGACCCACGGTCTGAGACCCGCTCTTGCGTCCTAGTCTGTTTTCGAGAAATGGGGAATTCTGAGAATTGTCTCTCATCGGAACTATTCCATATTCACAAAAAGCTGACTACAATGGTAGAATTGTCGTATGTAGCAAGTAAAAAAACGAAGTGCTACAATACCCTAACTTTTAGATATGCTCTCTCAGAAATGGTGACATGGAGGGAACGAAGTTACTCTAATAAATTGGAATTCCACAAATTCCTCAATTATGTAATTGCCGTTGGAGGGTCCGGTAAAGAAGCGATGGTGCAAGCGACAAAACATTCAAGACGTAAATTTTTTTTCCCGCTCAGAATAACAAAAAAAACAAAAAAAAGTACTTTATGGGAAAAATAATGGCACCATCCCTTCAGTGCTCAACTTCCTGGAATTCAGGCCAGATTTGAACCGCAAAATTTGATCGGATTTGGCTAAAATTTACATTACCGATCTCCACTCCTCCCACTTTCTCACCCCGAGAAGAATCACTATTCCTCTCAGACTCAGCATTTCGGTGAGTCCGCACACCAAATGATCCTAGCAAGCGAATTTATACCAAATTCGCTGGAGAAATGGTGGCGCCAAATAGTCACCAGCGCCAAAAGCGAATGTCTAGTTCGTTATTAGAGCATCGAATCACCACCTTTTCGAAGAAGTTTCGCAAGCAACTGCTCATAGAGGAAGCTATGCTCCAGAGCATAAAATTTTGCATGCGCTTTGCAAGTATCCCGACAAAATATTTTGTGGACTGGCATGTATCTAACAAGTAGAGCTGGAAAGGGGAGCAGGTAGTACCAGCGACCTTTCTTTGCGGGGTTCTTCTCGAGACCCCATCTTTTTCACATTCTGGCTGCCTGGGCTCCTTGTCGCTAGCTTTGCTTACACAGTGAACACACACAACTTCACAATCTCACGCCCGGACTCTGATGACCAGTAAGCTTACTCTGAAAGAACATGACTTCCGCTAGCTTCGTTTAACTTCTTGTTCTCATTGAGAGAGAAGGACCTGAAACATAGACCAGCGCCGCAGTTTATCCAGGTTTGAGAAGTGGGGTCTAGAGGTGGCATACATGCAGGGTGGAGCGATACCATTTTCCAGTGATCATTTTTCCGTTTTTTTTTATCTTATAGTTAGATTTCTACAAAACAGTGAAACTGAATGGAGATGCTCTCATGGTTTACCACCGCGTTGGGTAGATACCCTGGCCGCTTCCCCATGAAGTTTTTGCCAATTTTAATCTAAATTCTTCAAAATATCGGTTGCGCCATCTAGTTTTGCAACGAAACGTCTTCAGTCAAACAGCGTATAGGTCACTACCTCTAGCTTGCGTATAGCCGTCCTCTTCACATCATTTCAGCATTTTCCCCAACCTGCTGATAAGTTATATTGTCTTCCCGATTTCAAGGGAATGCATCTTTTGTGTCTTTAAACGTTTTGAAAACTTTAGAACATGGAAGCAGTGCCAATTAAATCATACGAAACGCGACAGAGAAAAAAGGTGTGACTGTGAGCAGGTATACCACCTGGTCCAGAATGTGCTGAACCTGCTCACTTGCTAGAACGGCCCCTTCCATGCGCAAGATTGATGTCCGCAGCAACACTAGCATGCCACCTTCCACTGTCAAAAGTGTACGAGGAATGAGGATGAATAGTAGTGATGCCTGGGTGGGCGTTTTCCGACTCTGTCCGCGCTATCGTCAAGGGCAATGGCACGACAAATCGACAAGGCCGACAGGGTTGATACGTATAGCACGAATGAATATTGTGCCCATAGCGCGCGCTTTCCAAGGAAGGTACCCTTATAGCGTCCTATCAAGCTGCATACCGACCCAGACGCCCACTTCGCCCGCCCGCCCACAAATGTCCGACGATTCTGGTATTCATATCGCTTCATTTGCGAAGTACAATATGAAGCAAAGGGATTGATATGAAGCGGCGTTAAATGGATATAGGAGTACATACATGCACTAGTATCTACCGTAGCGGTTATTGGCAAGATGCCAAGAGGGAACTGTCCAAAACGATTTCCGTACACTCGTATGATCCCGTTCAGAACAAAGGTTTTTCGCGGGTTTTTGGCCTTTCTTCTTCGCCATTTCTCCACTACATAGCACTCCTGCTGCTACTTTAGAGCAAGTGTTAAATTGCCTCATGTCTTCAGGATGCAGCAGTTACGTTGATACCAAAATCTCGCAGCGAACACTCAGTAGCTGTGGAAATAAAGAGAAAAGAGATGGCGCAAACAACAAGCGCGATTGGCCATGGTTGGGTGTGTGACAGACAGCACACCAATGGTGCAAAGTCGGGAACACTACCCTTCACCCCATTCCCGTGCATTCTTTAGCGGAGAAAGCACGCAAGGACCAGGATCCAGGGAAGTAAGCACAGCTTGTATTTGGAACTATTAGTTGGCAAAGCGAAAGTTCACTCAGGAGAGAGAAAGAGTGCGAAAGCCGCAGAACCGTTTTTGGGATTATCTGGATGAGTACCTTTTGGGATATCTTACATTAGAACATTCTCGCTGCCAAATATCTAGCCAGAAAGAAAAGTGAAAGCCTATTTAGAAGCTGCGGCATTAATAGACATGTTTGCTAGAAACTTTAGGACTTCAGGTTCCCAAGTGTATTTTAATCTTCTGGACACGACCATCACTAGCCTTTAAGAGAAAACGCCTGGTACATGGGCTGTGGGCACGGGCGCCAAGCACCTCCTTTTTGAACCATGTGCTACTCGGGGTCTGGAGGTCAAACTACCCCGCTCTGGGCTCAGGGTACAGCATCGTCAGGTGAAACACATAGAGGGGCGAACTTTTCCGCCGGGTAGGGGGGAGGGCATACTTGGTCGTTCGGAGGGAAGGAGAGGTGGTCGTGTGTGCGTTTGAGAGAGTTCGCTGCGTTGAGTTTTCAGTTTGCCAGTTTCGTGTAATATATTTCCCCACGACAGCAAAATGTTTGGGTAAAAGTAGGGAAATTCTCGAGAAATCTCGGAAAAAACTGGTGGGAAGTCGGGGATAATCTGAGAATGTTTCCCGTTTCACATTGGCTATGTAAAACCCTCATTCAGGTGGGGAGTCGTATTGACACCCTCTCTCGGAATAGGGTGGGGTCGTACTTTACCATTTCACACATCACGATGGGACTGCTGCACCCTGTCTGGGCCACTGCACTCCAAAGGAAAAACTCCGATCAGAATCTGCCCCCTTTTCCAGGAGTGGAGCATTAAAGGGCACGTAATGCAGCTGCTTCGAGTAAGTACTAGAGAAAAAACGAAATGTTCATGGCTTGCACTGAAATTGACATCATTACAAACTATTGCACACGTAAGCGCACTTACTAGTGCTAATTTTCACCTTCGAACTAGTGTGGAGTAGTCTCAGAATCTGAACTTGAGCCCCGTTTATGACAAAAAAAAGCTTGACGAGATAGAAATATGGAGAGTATACATGCGATGGACCACACCAGGCCGCTCTTGGGTGAAATAGATTAAGTAGAGCGACTACACCTCGAATAAAACGCAAGCGAAACAGTCACAAAAAATCGTGAAAAGAGGAGGGAACGCAGAATGTGTAAAGCCGTGAACTATTCACAATCATAGCAAAACACGATAAAATCTGCTACTTCCTGAACAATCCGGGCTAGTAAAATCTGCTGGGCCCTCATTTATCAAGATAGAGAATGAGAAGCCATTTACTCTGGTTTTACAAGTGACAGTTTAGGCGCTACAGTACCGTGAAGCCACAATCTTCTAATCTTCAACACCCTCATTTCAGGTTACCGCCTGATTAAGCCCCGCGCATACTTTGCCCCAACGTTTTGCAGTGTTTTGAGCGACTGGGGAAAGTACAGAAATCGACCTAGCGTACGCCTGCGTACGGAAGCATACGGCAGCGTTTTGAGCATTCACGGACAGTCGCCGAAAACTTTCAAAACGTTGACGAAATTATGAACGCAGCCTTACAGTCACTCGACTCTTTGTAAGACCATGTTGTCAGAAAATAAGCGTAGGCGAAATCAAAAAGACAGAATGGTAATTTCACGTCTTTTATTTGCCGAATGACATAAAAGAAATGATAAAAATGGCGTGGCAAAGGCATATTTTCTAACCAATCGGGATCTCCCCGCCGCTGGTGTCATGAGTCCATGCAAAGACGCAACATGTCGGTCCTAACAAGTAGACGAATTGTCATTACGACAGCGTCCGTATGAGGCGATTGCGATTTAATGCTATGATGATCTCTTTGATCAGTTGCACAAGCTTCGTTTAGAAAGCGAGAGTTTGTTCAGCTTCAATCCTACTGTCGCGGAAGGGAATCGATCGGCGCCGGTCGCTTATGTGACAGTGTAGGATGACAGGAGGGCATGTGCTGCTTTCACACAATCTGGTACACTCACATTCTTCTATACTCTCCAAGGGCCCTTGAAGTCATAGCTGATCAATATCTGCTAAGCCAACCTCGTACGCTACCTTTCCCCCAAACTCTCAAGATATAAGCGGCAGGCGTAGATCGATTTCCGTGTGCGGCCACTTCGCATCTCTAGGACTGGCTGTTACAAGCGTAGCGAGCGATTCGACAACCGTCATTGCGAAGTATGAACGCTGCCTAAGAATCCATTTGCACGAAAATGGCACACGCTCACAACTAGGACCTTCAAGGCATGGTCAGCTTATGTAAGTGAGCAGCGATCAATAGAGTAAAACATCCACAGCAAAAAACAATTTCCTAGTAATGAGCTTATGTGAACGAAAACTTGGTGCCTCAAAAATGGACTAGAAAATGAGGTCAGCCAGGGGTACACATAGACTTACGGAAATTGTATTCAAAAGTTTTTTCGGTTGAAAAAATCCTACGAAAACATGAGCTACGCGAAAGGTTACTCGCCTTAGTAGTGAAGAAAGAAAATCATCAAAGAGAGGAATCTCGATCAAGGGATGTTACACATGCATTTCGATAAATGCATAAAGTTGGAAATCGTTTCAGATTCCGCGTAAGATGATCCTGTGAAGTCTTTTTGCAAAGAACAATAAAAGATTTTGCTCTTTTGGAAATAAATCCTTCGCTATTCGTGGAAAAGAGCGACATTGTGAAACTTTAACCAGAAACGAAATACTTACCGTTCCGGACCACCGTTTCCACATTCATCGGGAGAGGTTCTTCGTAGAGTTCCCCTCTGACAGTGACCCGCTTCTTTTTTACAAATCTTCCCTGAAACTCGTAGATTTAAGAGTAGTTACGAAGCTGACTGTTCAGCAGCTTCTACAGAAAACGAGGTAGCACCGTTGAGCATTACTCAGTCGCCATTCTGTGGAATAAAACGTCTCATACGGCAGCATGGCGAGGTGCGCAGTACTCCTTTCGGCACAGTTCGGCCACAGGGGGTCATTTTGCTTTTCTGCCACCCCCCGGACGGGCTGAGCCATCAAGTGGAGACCGTCAGCTCTTGCAAAGCAATGAAAGGTCATACAAATACCTTTTACCATACCGATTAGACGAGCCCTTCACAAGAGTCAGTTTTATCACAACGATACTTGTAAACCGGAACTTGTGAGAAAACGCCCACCCCTCTATCGCCAAATCGCGCCCTCTTCTTCTTACGGTTAGTTTCGTGAAGAACCCGCTGCACAGATTGGAGCTTCCGTAGTTAGACAAAATTGAAAATTTGTCAGCATTCTTATTGGTGCAGGCTGGATTTGCTGGCACAACACGGCCCTTTTACTCACTTCTTATCAGCATGACCCTCTCTAACACCACAGCGCATAAGGAAACTGAGACCTAACTCAAAAGATTGAAACGCAAGCCGTTTTCATCTCATTCTCGTCTACGACCGCAGATGACTTTTCAGTTGAGCCCATTACTCGGGTGCAAATGCCCTCATCACAGTAAACAAGTTCAAACTTTTTGCCTACAAGCGTAGGAGTCTCGAAACGTATCAAAAGTTCACACATAGCGCACCCCGCTTTTGGTCACTTTTGGTTAAAAGCCACTACAGACAGTGACTTGTACTTCAGAGCGGAGGAGGGGAGTTGAGGGAGAAAGCACTCGGTCGCACAAGCGTTCTCTTTCACTTCACCAGGACATAGCTCTAGAGCACAGACGACCGGAGTCGCCAACAGACAGTTTTGCAGAGATGAGAAGTTTCCACTAACAATAAGTTCAAGCCTTGGGATTGGTGGGAACTGAAGAATATGGTTTATCACTTGAAGGAACAGTAAGAACAGTAAATAGGATACTGGATACTTCATGAAGTTATTGTGCTTGTTAAAGAAGAAAACTGCTTTGCACGTAGTTCAGCCTTCGTTTATGCTATAAGAATCAAAGTTCCCCTCGTCAAGTTAGGTTTATGATCAGTATGCTTCTAATTGATGCTCCGAGCCAAGCAGTCCTCACAAAAACTGGACCTCTTGAACATCAAACGACATAAAAAGGAATATCTAACCTCAGTATTGCTTGTTTCCTCAGATGGCGGCGGTCTTTTGCGTTTCTCCGACTTCTTTTTGTCGTTGGTTAATGGCTCACTTTCGGAAGATTTATGCTCGCTCTCCAGTTCAGGCATTTTTCGATTTTAGGAATGATGTCGCATGTTACCCATGTTTTATCCTTTTCATGCACCTGGAAAAACAGTCTTCTATAGTGGAAACAAACAAACACTTAAGCGTAAAGTTCCTAGGAAAGCTCACAAGAACAAGAAGGAAGAAAGTATTAAAAGTGCGAGCATTCGAAATGGCGCGTTGTTTCGAATTGGAGCGCGATTTAAGCAATTCATTAACGGTGAGGCTAGATCGAGGCGGAAGAGGAGGGTGTGTGGACTAATTGGACCTAATCCCTCTAGTCGCGTTATTTTCTGTTCCTCTCTTTCGTCTGCATGGCGTTCTGTGACCGTGGCTCACATATTCCAGCTTCCCATGCATGCCAAGTGGCTCACTCATCCAGGAGCAGTAAAGGTTCTGCCGCTGGGAGAGAGTTCAAAATGCGGCTCCCATCCCCGGAAATGTTCATCTGGTACAACCGCCTCCACATGTTTTTTGTACTTTTGTACCCTTCAGCACTTGGTGTCTTTACCTATCTGAGTCGTGCGAAAGGGCCTCAAGCGCAGGTCTCCTGACTAGTTAGGGCACAACAGCCTTGGTGTATCTTACGGTTAGGGCGAAAGATATTTAGTAAAATTATTCTTATTCTCAATATAGCTTTACTAATTCAATTCCTGAATCATGGATGCTGCTGAGCCAAATAAACTGCAAAAACTCGTGAAACTCGAAACTTCTTGGAAAGAAAGGCCTGTCTAAAAGGTTTGACGGCAACCGGTCTGATATGGTAGCAGGGGTGCTTACGGTGGGAAAATGGCAGAAAAGCGAAATGAAACGGTCAAAAGCCTGCATTCTACACGACTAGGAAGGCAATTTGGGACGAGTTTTCCGTTGGTTGTGCCAATACCCGCTACGGTAGTTCTCCATGTGTGTACCCAAAGATCTCCATGTGTGTACCCAAAGATCCATACAGCACCGCAGCCGCTTCACATCATCCCTTCGCTTCACACTGGACTTCCCAAATGAAGCGATACGAGCATCAGCATGGCTCGGACATTTGTGGGCGGGCGCGGTGGGCCTTCGTGTCGGTATCTTGCAGGCTGATAGGGTGCTGTAGGGGTAGAAAAAGCGCCACTAAGCGCCTGCTCAGGGGTACCAAATTCTGTCCTGCTAGGCGCAGCCTACACGCATCGAGGATTTATCGTGCCACTCCTTTGACCTTTAGCATAGCGTCATTTTGCTAGCTTATCAATCGGATCTTACCACTCGCGCGGCGCCGGGTTCAAATCCCGGGTCGACTCCCGCCCAGGCCAACCAAGCCTTCTACCCTCCGGGGACGGTAAATTGGTACCAGATTCGTCTGGGAGGATAAAACACTGACTTGTACATCGGCTGGCCACCGCAAGTCATTGTATAGGCCACATCGCATTCAATAAGCCACTACGATTCTGAATGGAAGTAGAATGCGTGCCGCATCCCACAAAGGGATTGATCAACGGCGAAGACTTTATCCTTTTTTATTATCATCGGATGTGAAGAGCTAATGTTTGCATTATACGAAATTATGTCTTAGGGTCAAGCCACCAAAGGGGCCTCCAGAAAAGAGGAAAGCTTGTCTAAAATTGGATTCTCCGTGGTGCGAAAAACCTTTTTGCACGGAAGAGTGCGTTCATCACCGCGGCGCTCCTTCTTATCTAGGCTTTGGAGGAAATCCTCATCTCCATTACGGCAATCTCAGTTTTATTTAGCTGGTCTAGGGCCTTCGCCAGATTGACGTAAGGGTAGGAACGAAGGTTCTGAGGGAAATAATGGACAATGCAGTCAACGCTGTTGCTCTTCGTGGAAGGCGCCATACATCTGGATTCAATAATTTCCGACTACCTGAGACCAACCGGTTTTGATTCTGGGCCTTCACTCTGCAGATGAGTCCTTACAGGCAGATGACACTTAGTGGATAGAGTTCTGAGTCACTGGACGAGTACAATCATAAACCAATAGCGCTACATTTTCTCGCAATGCTAGCTTACTTATGGAAAAGTCCTAAACAAAAGAGGAAAGAGGAGGAAGGAGGAAGAATCGAGTGAGAGCACTATTCCTTGTCAGGAAGATTTTGGGAGTTAATCGGTAGGGGTGGCCCAAGAAGGAGGGACATCATTTGATGCGTACGATAGCTAGGGCACCTCGACCCTCGTATGGGGTTTTGGTTCGCCGTCCAGCAATGGTTATAAAGGTCCGATCTGCAGAGGTCACCGATCAATGAGCACCACCTCATTCCCCGGGGGGCAGTAAGTCCCTCATAGTTGTATGGCAAGAGTTTTTTCCTTCGCTCGATCACGAAATGCGACTGATCGGGGAACCTGCCGTCGAGGAATCGAGTTACTCAGAGGTGCTTTTAAGATGATGCAAATTGGAACAGAGCACACCGTGCCGGGAAATTGCCGAACCCTTTAGCGAAAGATGGCCAGCGGCAAGAGGTGGAAAGGCACCGCCCACATCTCGCGCTCAGTCATCAACTATTCGTACTTCAGTCATTTCCTTGTCACCCCACTTTTGTCGGTCTCATCCTAGCAAGAGTACATCACTTCCCAGAATGTGCTCCAACGCTAGTCAATACTTCTGTTGACTCCGTTTCCTATTTATAAGAATGGTCCCGTATCAAACATGGGATGACACAGCTCAAACGATCTCTTTGAACTCTCACTTGAAAGCCGCTTGAGTTGATCAATTTTCAGTGCCTGCTTGACTTCGGGCGAATTTTTGTCAAGATTATTTTAAAATTTAACAGACGAAAATATGGAACGAGCCTTCATTCGAGCCTATGTAATTCTCTTTTCGCGTCACTAGACCTTGCATTGTTCCCCACGGAGTAATAATGAGCTACCTTATCATTGTTATGTATTTTTCCACTGCATATGACGTCGGAAACCACTTTTCCTATTGATAGATTCAAATCCTAATGGGGAATAAATAGTCGAAAGGGAGCTGCATTCACGGCCATGGTCGTAAAAAATGACAAAGAGACAGCGCGATTGATACAGTATCCAGTATGTAGGGAGGAGAAGTCTACTAAGGAAATAAGGAGTCTCTCCATGAACTTTCGCAGGAATACCGGATGACTATGTGAAACTTAGAATCATAAACTGTTGGCAGTCTCTTGAAAGACATAATCCACGATCAATGGATGGGTTGGGACCCACAAAGATTGTGAATTTCTCATTGGCTCGTCTTCCTCTATAACCTTTTGTAATGAGGGCGTAAGACACATGAATGTGGTTCTCCACCCATCAGATCATCGCGGACTTTCCTTTTGAAGGCAATCCCCGCGCTCGAGCCAATCGTAGGCACTCCTTGTACAAGTAGACTGGTCGCCTGAAAGTTAAAATTAACCACTTTTCGGCTTGCGGTAAGTGACGAAGCGCGGCGACTTCATAAATGGCATCTCTGACTGCTCCCCAGTTGTCCCACTCACCGGAACTCAAAGGCTATTTTCTGTCACAAGTTCAGTTTTTTCAAAACATTTTCCTTGTTTTTTCGTTGCGAGATGATATTAGTATTGAATGATGCGGAAAAACTCTTATTGAACTGGAGGTGGCAGTATATTTGGGCTCTGCTGTATAAAACGACAACTTGCGGGACTCGTCCAGAAGGTGTCCAGATCTCTAGAATTTTAGAGTTCTCCGGGGTTTATTATTTAGCGATTGGGTTTCTAGTTTTTTAATTGAGGCCGCTATCATATATAATAATGCGGGTTTGTCTTCAACGCGAGAAAAACTCTGGCATGAAGCTCTTTTGCCTTCATTAGAATGTTGCATTGCTCAGAAAAAAGTTTGGATGAGAGCAACTTATCAGAAGTGTTGCAGTGATGACACCCTGCAACTAATACATTAGCTGCGGAGTAATAATTCACTTCAGTTTCAGCTAATGCCAATTTGAGTAATATACTTCCAGTTGTACTTGATGAGGAAGTAAAGGTTAGATTACTCACTTTTTCCGAAAAACTGTGGTAATGGCAAAGTCACTACGGACAGATTTAGATAGATAAGGAAAAGAATAATTTCTCAAAATTGGGAATTTCGCGTCTCGAATGACAGTGGCAAGGCCCCCAGATGTTCCGGCGAAGAGCTCCGCCCACGAAGGTCGGCCTCCTCCCTTTTCATTTCGCGGTCTGTGTATGGCAATGCCGTGTCGCTTGTCTGTGTACTCTCTTCATTTTACCGTCTGATGCTCTTTTGCAATCTCAATTTCTTTTCGCGGTACAATCGTATAATGCTTAAAATCAGCATAGTCTCTTTGAGAGCTTTTCTAACAGTTCCGATAGATTTTTTCATGATTGTCCGATTGTGATTTTCTTGATTTTTTTACTTATTGCCTTGCCACATTTCTTTTCATTTTATCTTTTCAAGCCAACTATTACAATTTGTAGTCCCAGACACTGTCTTTAGACTGGTAGGTAAATTGTGTTTGTGGTATTGATTGCGATGCCGCAGGCCTGACAAAGCTATCACTCACGGAAATGTAGCGGTAATCCTGACAAACCTGCCAAGCTAAAATCGAGTGGTTGACATATTTTGGATTGAATTCTGGTGCCTCTTTATTCATGCGACAAATTCACTACTGGAATTGGGCTCTTCCGCCAGAGACTATACCATCACCAGTCCCGCCGTAATGAGGTTCCTGAGGCATGAATCTATCTTTCAGCTTTGTGATGTGAGAGTGATTTTTTTTGGAAGATCAACAAACAGCAGGTCTTTTCGAGCGGTCATGGAGATTACGCCTCGCAAGGTCCTCCAAGTTGTGTTTCTGCGGTCCCTTTTCTATTTTTTTCTGTTTGAAATTTATGCACCAATTCATCGCGTGGTTTGACTCTTGGTTCACTTGTATCCCTGCCAATTCTTCCTTGTTCTCTCTCTCTCTTCTCTTTTGTTGTAACCTCGACATCTTCAGTGATCCAGGCATATTACTTTATTAGGGGCAATAACGTATTTGGAGAGAGGGAGCACGCGGCGACAGTAGGCTGCCAGGGACTTTG